TCTCAAAGTGCATGTGATGGGCTTGTAATGTAGGGTACTGTTAGTGGAAACTGTGCCTCCATCTCCTCCACTGATGGCTTTCTCCTTATATGATGATTGAATGTCCTTGCAGAAAGGCGGATTCTTGGAAACAGGATGCTTACCTCCAGATCTTCTGCTATTACCCTGCATTTACTGGCTGCAAATGTCTTATATTGTTTGGGTATGTGATTGGTCACCATGGGTTGAGGCTGGTGCTCACTTTACAAATGTAATCCTTTACAATTCCTACTAACCTGTCAAAAAATGTAGTTAGTAATTTAATCTGAGTGTCAAAATATAAAAGTCATGTAACCTGATTACTGTCTGTTTTTGGATCGCCTCAATATCAAATGCAAATAAATACAAGAGATAGGAAATGTCAAAAGTATGTTTTTCTAACTAAGTGGTATCTAAGACAACAGAACAATGTAAGCTTAGAAAATAAGAAACCAAGATATTTAGGATCAAAAACCTGCCTTTCATTCAGCATAGCAGGCAGCAGCCTTTACACCCAACACGTTCTCACAACCACACATATGGATTAGTCTTTGTTTCTGCTAAAAGAGGTGTCGACCAGCTGCGGCAACAAGAAAATCGGCGAAATCGGGTGTGACTATTAAAAAATAAATAAATAATTCAATTAATATTGAAAATAACAACCGACCGTCGGGGTAGCATTTGCCGGGGAGCATTCTCATGGCGTCTATTATCAACGCTATGGGAGGTCTATGAAGGTCTATGGGACGCCCTGCCCTGACCGTCCGTCAACATGTGACGGGTTGGGAGTGAGAACGTGTTGTTACACCTACAATGAAACACATGAGCACATACTACAGTTTAAAAAAGCAGAAATACAATCTGAGCTGATAGAAAATTCTCCGTTTTAGTTTAATACGCAAAGTTAAGTACACTATTTCATGAACATATTGGTTCACCTAGTGAATTAAGAACAGAACAAATGAAGCAAAGAAAGTGAAAACCATAAAGCAGATTCAGGCAGAAGTCGTATATAGATTCACATTAATTAGCAATTTTTTAGATGTAATAGTAATCTAATGATGTATTTTATTGTAATCCCGTTACATGTAATCTGTTACTCACCAAGCTCCAAAGCAATTTAATAAAATGTGCATTACCATAATTTATTTTGGTATGTCAATGTGTTTTAGTGTGGATTTATTTTTGCTGCTTGTCCCGGTGCCCGTTGGCAGACACAGTGGAAGACCTTGGCTGCACTGGGGTTCTCTCAGGTGTGAATTCTGTATAAACGCAGAGCTTGTGGAGCTGAAAAAACAGCGTGCATCATGCTGAGAGAACCCTTCCCTGGATAAATATAGGCTGTGAAATGTGTGAGAAAGGTCACACACATCCCGGGGGAGAGCAAAGGAGTGTTTCCTTCATTTCTTTCTAAGTTTCTGAAGGTCATTGATGAATGCACACAGAAACGGTTAAAGGTGAACCTCGTATAAACAGCCCGTGTCGAAAGGTGCAAAATCTGACCTGGTCAATATGTGTATGCTTCTAAAGATCATTTAAATGCAGTGACCCAACCTCGGGTATTTATTCAGGTGATTCCCACTGATCAACGGTGTGCAGTAAGCATTTCAGAAGGCAGAAATACAAGAAGCGATAGAGCACTTCCTTGCTTTTCTCTACGCTGAGAAAAACTATGAAAGACGTTTGTATTTCACTCTTCTCCCTTTATCACTGTCAGATGTTTCTTATCCCACGTTCACCTTTGCAGCAAAGACAGCCCTTTTCACTCAAGCTGGTTTCCAACAAAAACTGTCAGGAAAAGGAAACTCATGTGGCTGAGCGGTAAACGCCTTTGGAAAAGGTCACACTGGAGGGTTTTTTCTCGCAGGTCTTTGACAGTAGGAGCTTCTTTCAAAGGCTCCTTAAATCCCTCTAACAGAAACACAAGTGAAAACTAACTAACGGTATGTGACAGATTTACTCAGTGTTTGGACTGAACAGATAACCCTATTTGTCAGCTTTTACTGTAGGCATGCATACTGTAAATCACAAGCTTTTATTAAAGGCAGCAGAAACCTTTTTATACATTTATCAGGAGCAGGTAGGTGTTTTAGACCATAAAAGTACAAACTCAGAACAACAAGAAATGTACCAGTATATTTTCTTCTAAATAATCCAAACAATTAAAGTACTATAGAGCATTACTTTTAAGTGGGTTAAACTTATTTTTTATTTTCAAATGGTCAAGATACAGGTGAAACAGAAGGTTTTCAGTTTGCAACTAAATATAAGTGGACTTTCTGATGTCGGGATCTAGCAGTTTTTCTATTGATACGATATGATAAGATAATAACTTATTGTCAGATCAAGTCTGAAATGTTGCATCATAGCCGCTCCATTTGCAAACATCAAACAAGGACAAATATTCAGGGAAAACAAACATTTAACTTAACATCGCGATCACTGAAGAGAAACATCCTCACAGACGTTTTAGAGTAGCCTACATTTGATCTGGGATTTACCTCTGTATTTAGTAATGGCTGTTCCAGGAGAAGACAGTGATGTTTATGACCTTAAAGTGTGGACGTATACTCTTAGACAACTTAAGTCTAACCTTTTAATTTCCTCTGCAAGATATAAACACAACAGCAAGGCTTCTATCTCCAGACTTGTATCAGTATGGATATGGACCAATGTCCTCAGCTAATTAAATCTGTAACCACTTTGAAAACACAGGTTGGTGTGAGCTGGTGGTTTGAATGAGGGCCAATGGAATGTAATTTAATGAAGACAGCTAATTGGGTCAGAGATATTTATCTTCATTAGGCAATAAGAAGGGAACCTGCAAGATGAAAGTTTTGTGAAGGGAGTCCGGAGAACAATAAAGAGACAGAGATAGAAAGAGAACAATCATGATAGTGTTGTCAAGGGTCTGACAGGTAGAAGTGTTTTAATTTGTCTGCGGGGTTTGATGTCAGTGGTTATGAGAAGGGAAGGTAATAGGATTCAGGGGAGATCCGGACCGAGAGTGCATCCTAATGGAGGGAAGAGCAACAGAGCTGAAGAAGTCCAAAAATACTTTTCCATGTCCTCCATCTCAACTGGAGGGCTTAGTCTGCCATCTAGTGGACATTTGAATGAATTACGTGAAGAAGAAAATACATTTTTGTCTCACACAAAAAGCAGTCAATCAGTGGTGGACTCAGATTGTATACTTAAATAAAGCTATACTTGATCTTAAAAATACTCTGTTACAAATAAGGTCCTGCTTTCCAAATCTGAATTGCAAAGTAAGAAAGAAATGGCATTGAAAAAAGTAACTCAAGTAACTCAAGTTGTCAATCTAGTTGGCTTCTAAATGAAAGAAGGGTAGAAGTATAAAGTACTATTCAATTCAAATACATTGGGCAAAAGTACCTCAGATGTACTTCACATCACATGTACTTTCCATCAGGGAAAATGGAAATACTCAAGTAATGTACAAGGACCGCAAAATTAGTACAGTACTTGAGTAAATATTAGTTGCTTTTCACCACTGTGTAAAAGACATGTGAGCTACAGCTGGGGAGGGGAAAAACAGTAAATGAAGGATAATTACATTTTAACCAGCAATAAATAAATAGCATTGTTTTGCAGAGGATTCCACAAAAGCCTTTCCTGCTTCTTGTCCTTGTTGGACTGATGCCTTCTTGGCAATATTGCAGCAGCAGAGGTGAGGAGGTGAGGGGTTGATTAGCTGGAAGTACCAAAGGGAGTTTGGGGGAGTCGAGGGTGATGGAGGTCCCCAATTATCTTCCTGGCTGCTTGGAGAAGAGGAGGTCACGACCCCTTCCCCTCTCAGCAGACTGAGTGATGGGCTGCCGTTTGCCCTTGCCCTGCACTGATACAAGCAGGCTGAAGTGAAAATGAAGTCAGTTATAAATGTCCACCACTGGACTGTGGATTTTTTTCAGCAGCTACATCAGCACAGGGTGGGTGAGGTTATCAGCCTCTTGATGACTGCTGCATCCATCAACAAGTCATCATAAACTCCATAAGGAAGCGTGTATACATTTAAAGGTGGTGTATGTAATTTATTTCAGAAACACTTTTTGTTATATTCAATGGAATGCTCTTAACATCCTTAATGCCTTTAGAGTTGGGACAAGTTCTTAGATCTTGTACTTAAGTAAACATAAGTACCAAAGTGTAGTCAGTCAAAGTCAACTTTATTGTCAATCTTTCAGTTTGTGTGTACAGACCACAGACAGAGGGATCGAAATACTGTTTCCCATAATCCAGACGAATACAATATATATATATATCAAAAAATATATATATAGTAGGAATACTCTGTTACAAGTAAAAGTTCTGCATTCAAAAGGTTACTCAAGTTAAAGTACAAAAGTATTACCATCAAAATATACTTATTTATATATGTTTTGTGTTATTTGTGTTAAGTTATTTGTGTATCAAAGCTGGTAAAGGTGCAGCTAGTTTTAGTGATTTGTATACTGCAGGGTAGCTTTTGAATGTTACTCCAGATGGAACTAAAGTCCTATTTAAGTGTTGTTTATATGTAACATCATCAATCCAAAGTATCTAAAGTCACAACATAAATGTAGTAGATTAAATGTACGGCCTACCTCTCAATTGTAGAGTAGTACAAAGTAGCATTCAATGGAAATACTCAAGTAAAGTACAAGTACCTCAGAAATTGTACTTAAGTACGGTACTTTAGTAAATGTACTTAGTTACTTCCCACCTCTGAATGCCTTTACCTCATTTAATTTGAGCAAATAATCATTATATTTTCCTGCACTGCAGATGTTAAATTGTATGTCAATCACATAATGGGGGTGGCATCCTTTATTTGAAGATGTCTCTCATTGGACAATAGTGTTAATGGAAACGCCTTTCTGACATGTTTGTCTTGTGATTGGCCAGAAATGACGTGACAACGGAAAAACCAACCAATTAAACTCGTTAATTCTCCTGTCCCCATAAGGCAGCCAGCTTCAGCTCTCTACCAGCCTAGCTAACGAAAACAAGCCAGGCAACAGCAAGTAGCGGATTGATGTGTGTGTTTGTCATCTTTCTGCTTTTCTTTTGCTATCCTGACACCCCTCGTACACTCCGTTTCCCCCCTACTACTTTTTTATTTCTTCTTTCGTCGTCACACAACAATATAAAACTGAAGTTGCTTAAGTAAAGGTAAGGTTTTTTTCTGATTTTCATAACTGCACCGGCTCATCCAAAATGGCTCCTTCTGCTAGCTAAGAAAAGCTAAAAATACCACCAACGTCTAACACGGACTAACCGTCGTCGCCTAGTTACTGTATCTAAGTAATGTGTACTGGGAGATTAATGTAGGGTGTAATGCATGTTTTACATGCAATTGAATAAGACATGTTTGCCATTAAGTTGCACGGGATTCTGACGGGGATCGCCTAAAGCTGGCCTAATGTATTTCAAGCCAGGATAAATCGGCTTATTTTATGCTTTTGTATCTTTATTTTTGTTATATTATACGGTACGTAGGTTTTTAGGTATATCTATATTCCTTGTAAGTATTGCTCTGTATTTTAATGTTATTGTTTTTTAAAATGTGTTTGTAATAGCTTTATTTTTAGGATAAATTGTAAGACATGAAATATAGACGTAGTGCAGAAATACCCGTACAAAATAAAATACATTAAAATATGTGCAGTGTTGGTATGACAAGTGGAAAGCCGTGCAGATATGAATGCACCACCATACACTAAAGACATGTCCTAGTAAGTGTAGACCTACTTATAATAAATAAACCTGTTTCTGGTTATGTTTCTGATTTATATAAACGCAATCTCTACTGGAAACATTAGCTAACCACGCCGCCCTGCCACAATTCACTGCGTAATGGTGCAGCGCTAGGTTTTCAGACTACACTTGATTTTGTTATAAATAGCAAACAACACAGCAAAACCTAGGATACGATGGTGATAAAACACAAGCTGCATAATATGTCTCTTCCTATTGGGTTACACAACCGATTGAACCCTTTTGTTAAGTCATAACAATTGTAATGTATTACCCAATATCTTTTATGATTCTGTAGTTTTGTTGCTTGTGAAATTGTCTATTCGAATTTATTTTCTTTGTATTCTGTATTTTTTAGATACTCTAGTGATACATGTCTTTCCTACTGTGAACATGTATGCATTTGCTGCTAATGTTTAATATATATATATATACTCGTGTGCAATGCTTTACAACACTGCTGCTGTTTCAAAAATAATTTCCCAATTTGTAAGTATTTATCTATCTAAACACAATTGTGCTCAGGCCTTGTAAACATCCAACCATAGTGTTGTGACGTATCTAATTAATGGACATAGCAACACGCAGCTAGTTATTGCATGTCAGCTGTTTGCTAGTCAACAGATGCTTGGTTGTAGCTCAGCAAAGACAAGCACATGTTTGTTTGGCATTTGTTGTCATTGTCTCTCATCTGAATACCTTTTTATTCATCCCACAGAGGGGAAATGTACATTGTTACAGCTAAATGTAAGAGCCAAAAATAGCAAAATATTAATTTAGAGCCATGTCAAAATAGAAGAATACAAATCCAGGTGGAAACCAAAAAGTACCAGTGACAGTATTTCTTTGGTCAATGCTCAAATATTACTTTGTTTTATGTAATAAATTGTGTTTGTCATGTACTCCAGTACCAGGTTTACTTTAGTAATTTGATCTGTTATTACTGGCAAAGCTCATAACAAAGATCTGGCTAATCATCCTAGTTTGCTAAGTGTCGTGCCATTTTTAATAACGTTGTAGCTAATGATGTAGCATATAAATAGTCTTTGTTTTTCCCAGTTACTAATTGCACTCCCTTTTTTTTCCCCCCTTTCCTCAGCACCGTTTCCCCCATCCCCTCCTGTTACTCTTATTCTTTTAAGTATTCTTCATTGTCAAGCCGCCAAAGTGGAGAGTTTGATTGCAGAAGGGGGTGCTTCTCGTTTCAGGTAATAAACCCAAAAGATGCACACATGTAAATAATACATTTCTTATCTTTTTTTCCCCCCATGGTTAGCCCCTTAGCTAGCTTTTTGGGCTGGCACTTCCGGCCTTTCGAACAAAGCAGGATGTGGGAAGGCTCAAAATGGCTGTCAGACATTTCTCTTTGTGAAGCCTTTTGCTGTGTAGACATGATAAGCCTTGAGAGGATTTATGGAGTATTGATAGAGGCAGCAGTCTGTCTGTTCACCGTATAGAGAGTCATTGTCAACATGACGGCTCACCCCGGAACCAGTCTACATTAAGGCTTCATGTTTTGCGGGCCTGTATTCTAACTTGGAAAAAGGGGATTTAAGGTTGCCGTTTTTTGGTGTCATGTCAATTTTAACATGTTGATAAGTAGTTTGCTGATTGGTTGATCATTAACATATATTGTCTGACTCAACAAGTTTTGCACACGTCCTGATTTACAAGTCAATCACTCCCACTGCAAGGAACTGCAGTTCAACACACATTTCTGTATTAATAGAGCATGATGTGTATGATCAAACGGCAGCAGCAGAGCAGTCAGTGTGAACACCCTGTTCTGCTTTTCCATCACACATGTATCAGTTCATGTGGCCTTAGCTTGTTGAGCATCACGTTCTGTTATCTGAGTTCATGAGAGATGTATAATGGTGATTTTTCAATACTGATTACTAAGAGTCATTTTCTGAATTAGATTCACAGTCAATGCTTTTAGGGAAAACATTTAGCAACACAAAGTTGATTTTAATCTTTTATTCATTTGGCTGATTGTGTTTTTTTGGGGGGTTTTAAAATGTAAATGCACCCAACTTGTAAGCAGGGTTCTTGTTTCTTAGTGTGTGTGTTTGGTGTTAATAAAGGTTGAATGAATATGCAATGCATTTGAATTGAGTCTCTTTTGAGGTGAAGATGAAGGCTCATTTCCTTCCTCTTCAGTGCTGTGTGAAGCTAATGCATCCTTGTGTTTGCTTCCACAGTGCTTCTTCGGGGGGAGGAGGTGGTAGGGGCGCACCTCAGCACTATCCCAAGACTGTCGGCAACAGGTTTGTCATTTGAACATTTCTAAGATCACACTTAGCGCATCGTTATCTAATATATTAACACTAAAGCACTAGTTTTATCACCCCACTGCTAAAGAAACCTGACAACCTTGTTTATTATAGGACCTGAATTACAGGAAGCTTTTATTTGAATACCCAGAAGTGCTGTTACATGATGCCAGTCAACCGCCGAGAGCACAGGCTTGTTTACTAACCACCGTGCCGTCTGGGATTGTGTTACAACAAAGGGTGAAAAAGGAAATTGTTAAAAGCTCTAGCATTGGCCACGAAACAATTAGGGCACATTTGTTCCTACTGCTTATCATTCACATCCACACCTGAATTTGTATTTTAGCTAAATAAGATAAGGAGAGAGTTATACCCCTTCTGTATAAGTTGGTAGACCTGGTAGTGCAGCACTTATATAGTATAAAATGTGCAGTTACCCTTAACATATTGTACTGGAACAATGCATGTATTAAAAGTGCACTTGTTATTTTTCTGTACTCGCCATGTAGTCTGCAAATATTGTGATATTCACTCTTTTTTTTTTCTCTCTCTCTCTCTCTTTTCACTTTTCCAGCGAGTTCCTGGGGAAAACCCCAGGGCAAAGCGTTCAGATATGGGTTCCTTCCCGAAGCACTAGACGAGATGTCAACTCCAGCAACGAAAAAGAGCGACACGATGCAATCTTCAGGAAAGTGAGGGGGTAAGTTCAAGCCCGTATGTGTATTTATCGTTAATCGTCCATCACCAGGGACAAGAAACATTTGTATTCTCCCTTTTTATCCAGACTTGCCCGGAAATAGTGTGCAAGAATTCTTATCGCCTGAGGCTTAGAGATTGTTGGTACTACCATTTCAGTTGTGCAGTCGTTCTGTGAAATGTATATACAACAGTTAGTGTGGTCTGGATTGCAAGAAGAGCTCTACTCAAGAAAAATACCTGCAGATGTTTGAGCAACAACCTTGACATTTGGATCGGTGAATATGTCAAGGATTTTGTTAAACCAGGTTGATTCAAAAGAAATGGCTGTTGGAAAATAAATGTCTGCTTCGCATAAAAGTTAAATCTATTAGTTCCCAATCTGGAGTTGACAGTTTGTCCTTGCCTTACTTTCTGCTCCTCGTGTATTGTTGATTCATTTCTTGATGTACAGATGACTTTATGGGGCAATCAGGACAGAGTGTTACGCTGTGTAGTTCTGTAGTCACTGTGTGTGTATGTGCATTGCTAATTGCAATTTAACCCGTTTCCTCTTTTGTCAGTTAATGTTTACATGAGATTAATAGATGACGGTTTCCTCAGGAATGTAGCATAGGCATCCACCTGGGGCAGATCATTTCTGTACAATCATCGAGCCAAATTCTTATGTAATCATTGTTTCCCTTGTTTTTATACTGAAATGCTTGGTTTTTCTTGCTAACTTGCATTTCTTAACCCACTATCAGAAAATGAACATGTGTTACATTAACTCTTCTCGCTTTAAATAAACAAAGCCAGTAATATAGGAAAAAGCCGATGTGAGATTTTCTAACAAAGCCTTGTGGATTTCTAAATCATTATTAATGGGCTCTGTTGCACTGCGTCACAGAAAGTGAAGTGATGCTGCAGCTTTCTCCAGGCGTGTGAATTCATTCTGAAGGGTAATGACATAGTGGAAAGATACTCTTTAGAAGACTTACTGAGATCTAATGGACTATTGAGTTTGACCTCAAATAAAGCTGCACTCTGGCTTCTTGGATTTTCGTCTGATGTTTTAAAGGTAGGTAGGTCATTCACTTCAGAAACACTTTGTGTTATATTCCATGGAATGCTCTTAACATCCCGATAGCAATGAATACATTAAATGCTTTGACAATAAATACATAAAAACATTTCATCCGTGGAAGCTGTAGCACTGTAAAAAGTAAGGATGTCCCGATCACCTTTTTTTGCTTCCGATCCGATTCCGATCATTTGATTTTGATCAGCTGAGGTTGTTACCTTAATACTAGTCATCTTACCGGGGTTACTGTACCCTGGAAATTTACCACAGGAACGTCGACAAGATTGTAAATTCTTAGTAGTGGGCACAAGACGGGTGGTCAAATGTTTCAGTGTATAACCAGGCAGCGACACTGTATGTTAGGAAACGACACATTTGTAAATTAAATTATAAAAATAAAGTTTCCGAGAAGAATATTACATATTATATAACCAATATACGTGCGTGTACGATCAATGAGTATTCCAAAGAAAGAGTCGGGAACTTTTACTTTGGTAAAAGTCTTTCGTTTTTATTTAGCTATCATTATTAATATTTTATAATATTTTCACACCTGCTGATAGACTTGACTGTTGATGACCAGCTCACCCTTTTCGAATTCAACCCCCGTCGGGACTCGAGTTGGTTATATTTAGTATCAGTGGGTCTCCGGACATTGATGCTTCGACCAAGTTGATTGGACCTATTACAAACTCAATCGGCCAACCGGATTAGGTTTTGTATGCGCTAGGAAGCGATTTGACATGATTGCTGCGCCCATAGTTCACCTAGCGAGTTCGGTCGGCACAGGGTTGATCAATCCACGTCTAGTGACTCAACTAGAGAATCGGACGTTGGATGGACGGAGGCCCGTCCAATCGGTGGAGTAATATTCAATGGTACCTCTAGATCGGGAGGATTTGTTCTCTTGGTCGAGCATCTTGGCCATTTGGGTCTCAAAAAGGGACTTCATCGGCGATTCACTTTTAGGACGAAGCATTCATTTGACCGGAGTCGAATGTTAATTTACTTCCTGTTTTGTTAGTAAACCTCTTGGTACTCGAAAATAGTCTCTCATGAGTACCGAATAAATATCGGCGAGTCATTTTCTTCACTGTTTCCTCCTCTTATGTACAAGAGTTCCGACCTCGTACATAAATTGGTGTGTAGGTGTGAATGACACGAGAACGAAACCCCTACAAACCTAAGTCTTTACTTCCCGGTAGTTTCAAACCACCGCAGGGAGACGGTTCGCGTCTGTATCGACTCGTATCTCGCTCGATATGAAGCCTTGAGAAGATCCCGAAAACAGATGGTTAGACTCCCCCTCCTCCCTTCCTCCCTTCCTCCTTCTCCCTGGGTGAGCCCAGTAATTTACAATACTCAGTGAGTCGTCGTGGACGGTTCTTTACCACTTATGTAAAGGTAAGGGTCTGACTCCTGACCTCCTATTTTCTTTTTTACAAAGTAATGGTCGTCTTACTAAGGAAATTCCTTGCTCAAAACTTAGATGCGGGTGCAACTTCCTCGAGCTCTCCGTATCGTAATACAGGTTTGGAAAGTCGCGCACTCAAACCAACTCATACGACCCTTTTTTTATTTTTAGTTCCCCTTCTCCTTCCCTCCCCGCCGCCGTTTATTCCTTCAGTCATGCGGAATATGTTCTAGTTTCTACAACAGTAGTATGGTCAATCGTTCTTTCCAAAGAGAGTACAAAATGAAAGTACACCGAACAATCCTGTTGAAGTTTGTTTGTTTGTGGATAGGACTCAAACTTTCTAACTCTAACGGTGAGGGAGACTTCCCAAAGACTAGAAGAGGAATTTGGGTCTACGACTTGAGACTTCTTCCTTCAATATGGAGAGATGGTTTTGGTATTTGGGACAGAACGACTGTGAACAAGTTGGTCAAAATTTCGCACCTCAATGTGTTCAGACGGAGTTCTTCATTAGAAAATTTTTCCATCCATCCATTCTTACCTCTTTGGTCGGAGCTCACGCGATCTTAAACTCATTGCGTTGGCTTTTTTTTAGAAGGGGAAGGAAGTCTGAAGGGAAATGTCTCGGGGAGGAGGTTGTGTGTGCTTGCGCCGTGTACTGGTTACTCCCGTGCTCTATTCAAACACGGGTCTACCTTCCGACTGTCCGTCCACCGGGTAGGTCAATGAAATCGGCCCGGCCGAGTCTACTAACCAGCACGAAAAATGATCTCTCTACAGGGCTAGGCTAGTGGCACTACCCCCTAGCCTCGCTAGTGACACTAAAAGTTTTCTTTAGCCCCTAGCCCTATAAAAATTTTTTTTTTTTTTTTAAATATTTATGAAAAAAAATTAAAACATAAGTTACAATGTTTTGTTTTTACTGGTACAAGGTTCCAGAATTTCAGTAGGACTCCGGCGAATCAAACCAAAGTTTTACTGTGTTTTAGTACATACACAAAGAAGAAACCCCGACAAAGTTATCTGGACCAACGAATAAAGAGAGGTTTAGACCGTTCGTCTCACCCCGCGTCACAGATTTAACTCGTCATTCGATTGCTCATGACTATTCGAAATAAAACAAAACTAGGTTACGACCGTATTGACTTGACTAGGTTACCAACGACACTTTCTTTCTTCGATATAGGTACAACCTAATCTTATAGTTTAAATTATTTTTTATGGAATTCCCTGTTGAACTACGGAAAAAAAGGAGAATTACGTAACGTATTTCTAGCCTAGCCCTTTTTAGCCATTAGC